TGCTCCACACGGACGAGCTCGCGCAGCAATGCGAAACTTCAGTGCAACACCCACGGACTAAGGACCCACACAACGAACAGGTGATCCGTGCACCTGGCGCTTGGCGATCTGCCCCACCAGCAGCTCACCGCTCTTGGAGTAGGCCACAACACTCGGCGTGGTGCGTGCGCCCTCCGCGTTGGGGATGATGGTGGGGGCGCCGGCCTCTGGGCAAGATGGATTCAGACCCCTGCATGTGCCCGGGCTTTTCAAGTCACAGCCACTTGCAATTCCATGGGCTTTCAAATCGAGCGTCCTCCATGGCCGCCACTGCGGAGTTGGTGGTGCCCAGGTCAATGCCCACCACCTTCTCGCCAGGTCCCACTTCGGCCCGGGCAGCGACCTGAGAAGGGAAGAGTTGGACGATGTTGGACACCCACCCGCCCCTCCTGCCCGAGTCTGTGCTATCAGGGGCCCCTGCTCTGTTCGCTCGAGTCTTGCGTCGGGTGGACGCCGCCACAGCACCTGCGGCGGTGGCTGCCGCCGCGCCCACCGTGAAGGCGCTGCCTCGTGACCCAAACAGACAGCATCAAGAAACCAACGTCCGCAGTCCCGGAGTCTTGGTCAGTCCTTGCCTCTTGCCTCAACATCACACACTATGGCAAGTTCCGCGCCTGCTTCCGGAGATGCTGCCACCTTGCGCAGCTTCACACATTTCACATCTGTCTTTTACCACATGTTCCATGCACCGGCAATTGGCAACCCACAGGCCAGCCTTCGCAGAGGCCTTGGCGGCATCTGCAGCCGGCACGCGTCGATTTCCCGAATCTGCAAAGATCCCGCACACACAGAAACACAAATGATGGGAACGAAAGCTCCCCGGAACCTGGCGTGGCGACGAAGCCCAGCCTTGCCACAACGGGTGAATTTGAAGCGGTCTCGGCTTTTGGATGCCTCGCTCCTCTGCTAAGCGCGGCACCCGGCAAGGCCGGCGCAAGCCACGGCAGCCGCTCCCGCCTTCTTGGAGGCCATCCTCAGCATCNNTCTTACATGAGAACAACGTTCGGAGGTTACAGCAGCATCGCAGCATCGTGCTAGAAGTGTACTAACCTCAATACTACAAGCTACTCTCAGGCCCTCGCGTGAAAGTAGGCAGGGAGCCACAAACAAGAAAATGCCCCGGCAACTTGAGCCCAGCACATGTGTCATGCATTATTGTGAGCTCGTTCCCTGACAGCTCTTCGATCAATGGCCCTGTATACCTGTCGTTGCAACCCCGAGTTCGAATCAATGCTTTGATGATGGAAGTGCCGATGATGTTGATGCCGACGTTTCATGATGACAATAACGATGACTTTGAAAAGTGAGAACCAAAACATGCTGCACACGGTTTGCCTCCACTGCCTGCAAATCAAGCCGATTTCGGGTTAGGTCCGAGCTTCCTCTGGTCGTTCGCAAAGTTTGCCTACTTCGTCCAATGTGGTTGCGCAGGGACTGTGTCGGAAACGACCCACACTGAATGGAGATCCTCTTTCTAAACAACACGGACGCGACTCTCGAAATCTGTTGTTCAAAACGGGCATCTCCTGAAGGTGTTCAAGCCTGCAGCAAGTACAATGGGTCGTCACCGAGAGAAGCACGATGGCTGGTAAACAAGTGGCACAACCGAGACCTAATGCGACACATATGAGCCGGAACCTAAGAATATCACATGTTTACCCTACCTACCATTCCGCCTCACGACATGATATCAACTCGGGCAAACGGCATGCCCGAATATAGATCGCGTCCCGACAACCAGCTCAGCAATGCCATAAGTTTGCAACAGTGTGCCACATGTTTGCCAGAAGATGGTTGGTTGAAGTACAGGAAGCCGTGTCTAAATTTCAAAAGTGCCGATCTAAGCTGAAAAAAGTTGAGCAAAGCTCTCAAACTCATGCCCGAAAGACTCTCAGTTGCTTCTCCAAGCAGGTAGAAACCCAAGTCGCCGCCCAAAAACCTGGATTCGAGCCAAAGCTGAACAAATTTGTCGCAAAGTTTGGTTCTGGGTCGCCGACGGTAACAGATCAGTGGACTGCTGGACAGCCTCATAGAAGTAGCACCTTGAGCGGCAAGTGCTGCCACTCGAGACGACACACTTTCAGTTGAAAAACAAACAAGCAGCCACTCCACACGCCACTCCTTCATGACGCCACACCGCCTTTAAGTGGTTAAGTTTACCGCGCGCAACACCGCGCCTTTAAGCAATGCAAACAGCTCAAGTGTTGGATGACATGAAAACCGACTACTCTTTGTTTGGATTCTAGCGAAGCGAATCTGGTGCATTTACGGCTGGATGAATGGTTATTGAAAATGGAAACACCAGAAACAGCGTCCAGCTCCATCTGATCACCCCGTCCTTCAAAGTAGCAACGGCATGGCACGGTCTTGACAGTCAAGTGAATGCGTTTCTTGTTCTTCTTGTTAAAAATGTGAGGTGAGTTCGAGCATGGTGTGCCACCCTTTCTGCCAGGCAACAAAAGAATTCAAAACATTAAAATCCAAATTTGGCTTTCAGGCAACTTCACACTCCTTAAAACGAACGCGAACGTAACAAAATTTCAACATTTTAACCGTCTCGTTGAAGGCATTTGACAGCGTTCTTCGTGATGCCACATGTGGTTGAGCCAGTCGCCAAGACAGTGCGAGGTTGACACTACAAAGCCTAAGAACGACTTGCAAATTCATTTTGCAACTTTTGAGGAAACAATCTGCACACGAAATTTGGGAGAATTCACTTGACCGACAGGCCCGCGACGGCAAAATGTGAACTTGCTTTGGAAAGGCAGTGCTGCCAAGACTTTTCCTGGCTGTCATCGGTGCTGTCAGCTCCACTGCTCTCAGCATCTTCTTGTGGGCGTTGCACACGCCAGCTTGCCGGGCAAGGTGCGCAAAGTTCCTCAAAGAGTCTTTCAGCCCTGAAGCCACCATTGCACAAGACAGAGAGATCAAAAGAATTCCAGAAGGGTCTGGGACCTAAGATGACGAACCTCTTTACGAGTCTGATCACAGATGATGAGCGCCCCGAGCTTCCGCCACCTCCAGAGGGGGCATGCTCCATCATAGTTCGGC